TCCTATGCATAGCTACTCAATACGCGACCCCCCGGATCAGCTGGTGCTTGGGGAGTGGTAAACAGCGTCAATCGCGGAGAGTTGTGTTTGCGTCGTGGTACGACTACACATGTCCGCCGATACACATGATGCAGCACGGTAGAAATCACATTCTCTCTTTCGCCCTCACATTCCACGCACTCACGTTGCTATCTGATGTGTTCCTCGAAAGCCGTGGTAGCGGGCGGTGGTGTGGGCCGCGACGGACAGGGGAGAAACGGCAATGACCCCCGGGTTTACAAGATACAAATTTTATGGTTTACTTTTGGTTCGCTGTGTCGTATCGGGTGGCGGGCGGCGGAACTGCGACGACACTCTTTGTTGAGGGCCGACTTACCATTGTAGGACGCTCGGACAACCTCTCCCAAAATGCCTCTCCCGGAGCTTCGCACTGCTTCAAACCACATATTTCAGGACGTGGAATATGCTGTGATCCAAAAAATTCGGCTGCATTGCACTCTTACGACAGTTGTACCTCTCAGCCGTGTACCATCGTGCCTGCTGCGGAGTATTGTAAATGATAGACTATGCACGCGCGGTGCAATCTGGGAGACCCGTGAAGACGAACTCACTTGTTATTAACTCGTGTGGAACAGCTGCAGTAGCTGTTGCCAAGGGAAGGTAGAGGACTGACTAGGATGGGGCCAGAATCAGCTTCTAAAGCAGGGGCTACTAGATCCTGACCCCTGTTTTGTCCTTCCGTGGGGAGTTGCATATCCAGCACTTTTCTCTGGGCATTAGCCCGCACTACCGTTTGTACTTTCCTGCACATTCAAATCCCATCACACTAGCCCACCCTGGAGGTTCTCAGATACGTAAATCTCGGAACTTGACAATTACTTGTCAAATCCCAAATGAGAGTATCGAGGATGCGGTGCTCCAAAGTACCACAATTTACCCTCCCGCACCTCTCACTCGATGAGTCGCAAGACCATCGTTTGACCTATAAAAAGAGGGCACAGGAAATAATAAACTGGGGCTAACAGAGAGAAAACCAACGGGAGAGCCGCAACAGGCGAAGGCCACAAATACCATAACAGGTCAGAACCCAAAAGAAAAAGGCAAAGAGGACACGAAAGAAACGAACAAAATAATCGTCGCCTGAGCAACGGAAAAGGAACGGTGAAAGAAAAAGGCCTGTATCGACAAAACGATAAGATACGCCAAATAACCACCACGGCAGCGTGGGAGCGACAACAAAGGTCACGAAACACCTTCAGCCCGCAAACTCTAAGAAGAAGAGACAAAAATGTACGAAAAAGTACAAAAGCATCACAACGTATCAAAAAGGCTGGAAACCAAACGTTTCGGAAGCGAAACCAAGAAGAAGAGGGGTCATGACACTAAACAACAGCTGGCAACACCTCGGCAGGGAACAAAGAAAGCTCGACCTGGCGGACTAGTGAAGCCAAAAGAAAGAAAACGAGAAAACGAAAATAAATAGTGCTATTGCACGAGCAACATAAGGCAAAAAAATATAAGCATGCCATTTTAATGTAGGCGCGCGACGTCATCAGACAACGAATCGATCACAACGTTGCCACGGGACATGTCGATGCTGCGAATAACACCCTTGAATAGGGCGCTGTCGCTGTGTACTTGGAGGCACCAGGATCCGGAGGCGGCGGTTTCGACGGTAGAGTAGCGAACATCGGGAAGGGCGAGTTTGACAGGTCCAGGATCGTCCAAGAAGCGGGCGACGTAGACGTCGGACGGCAGAGGTGGTCCACAAATCTTGCCCAACCACCAGAGTCCATCTTGTGTCTTGTACCAGGAGAAGGCGCCCACCGGTAGAGGAGTGTTGGCGAAGCGACGGTCCCATGTTGAACGGGAAACAAGCGAGTAGCCCGAAGGCAAAGCTCGCGAACCTTGAGCACGCGCCAATTCCCTGGTAGCGCCCCCAATGCGCATCGCACGATAACAGCGATTTGTTTGGCGATGTTTGTCAGGCGAGCGTGCCGAGTACCGGAGAATGTGCGGCTTGGAATGCTGCAGGTCCATCTCACGCTCCCAAGAAGGGCGCAGAAGGCCCTGCCAATATGTCTGATATAAAACAGCTATCGTGCCCCCACGGCCACGGACGGACTGGTGGCTAATAATGCGTTCAATCTCCAAACGTTCAACAGGAGTCGACACGTCGTCTTCCGTAACATGGTAGGGAGGAGAGTTGTTCGCGTAAGAGTTCAGGACATATGGAGTAAGACCAGGAGGCAGAAAGCGCGGTAGGTCATCGGTGTCATGCGGGTTGGCACAAGGCTTGCAACGCACAACCGAAACACGAGGTTTCGAGTCTTGGCCCGGCAGGTCCGAAGGAAGATCCAAGTAAAGCAACTTGGAAGCCAAAGGACGACCGTCAGGGCTGATAGAACACCGGCCCACAGCCAAGATTCTGAAGGGGCCAGTCCAGAGTAGAGATAACTTGGCGTTGAGAACCTTATCATCTGTGCCTGAACGAACGCCTTGTCGAATAGTAGATTCGGAGTTGTACACCCAAACCCATCCACCAATAGTGTAAGAAGGAAGCTTGTGGAAAGCGTCCAATAAAGTGGAATTTCGCCGCTCAATCCGCGAAACGGACAGGTTATGCTGTTCACGCACCAAGTCGTACGAACGACGTTGGCGATCAACAGCAAGATCGCAATATTCGAGTTGATCATGATGCAAGTTTTGGTGGCCACGAGCGTAAGGACGCTCAAGAACAGTCATTGGTAAACGAGGCAATCGATTCAAATGCACCTCATTGGGCGCTAAACCGGTAGCGGCGCTAACGGAATTGTTGTAAGCAAACGCGACGTGTGGGAGATGAATGGCCCAATCATCTTGTCGTTCGTTGACAATCATAGCCAACATCTGAGCCATAGTGTGGTTGACACGCTCCACACCCCCATTTCCATTGGGATGGTACGAGCTAGTAGCCACTTTGCGGATAGCAAGACGGGCGCAGACGGCTTGGGACAGTTGAGAGCAAATTTGAGAGCCGTTGTCAGACAAAAGACTCAACGGGCAACCCCACAAAGGGATATACCTGTTGACAAGGATGTCAGCGGTGCCTTCGGCGGTGGATTCTGCAGCCGTAACCGCGTACATATCAGCACGGCGGCTGAAACGGTCTGTAAAAAGCAGAATGTATTTGTTGCCACGCGGTGTCAACGGAAGTGGACCAAACTAGCCAACACTTACCGACACACCAGGGCCCGAAGGCAAAGGAAGGGACATGGTAGGCCACCGAGGAGTCTGACGAGACGATTTACGGGCTTGGCATCGCAAACAATGTCGCACCCACCAGTTTGTACAAACACTCATGCCAATCCACCAATAGAAACGTTCCAGCATGCTAAGCGTGCGAGCCGCATCGAGGTGACAGGGCGCATCAGCGTGGCAGACTTGCATGATCCACGGACGCATGAGCATGGGAACATAAATCCGAATTGGTTCATCGTTAAGCAGGCGAGCAGCACGTCCGCCAGCACGCGTGGTCGTGGACGACGGGGTCGCTGTTTGCTTGCGAACAAGCAAGACCAAACCATCATCGTCAACATACAACCGGCCTTTGTTAGACAGGTCACGAATCTCCGAAAGAGAGGGTCGACGAGCGGACGGAACACGGTCCAAGAAATCTGAAGGGAGGACCGAAGGCGGACCCAGAAGGATGAAACGAATGGCTGCATCACACACAGGTTCGTTACGTTGCTCGCGAGCCCAATCAGCGTGCGAGAAACGTGCGACGGACGCCCGGAAGGCTAGATCTGCCGAAGAATGCAAAACCGCCTAGATAAAAGAGAGGGCTGATTCGCGAGGCGCCGACTGCAATCCATCGGAGGATAAAGGAGCAATGGAGGCCGAAGGCGAATGCGCGCGAGCGGTTGACACCAAACGCGACAAAGATTCCGAAGAGCCGGGGTCTGCAGAAGGCTGCAAAGCAGGAACAACCACAGTTGTGGTAGGCGTCGGAGACGCAGGCTGCACTCCATGAGCCAGAGGCGCGGAGGGAGTCGAGGATAAACCACCAGCACCAGTAGTCGAAACCCAACTGGGCAAGGCTGGTGTCATCGACGGCGCCTTCGTCGCCGTCGGAGACCGCCGAAACGGTCGAGAGGGAGCGGAAATCCGCGTGGGAGACAATGAAGGCTCATCGTCAGGAAAACCATAATCAACAGGCGGGAGTGGCGTGCCTGCCACAGCTGCCTTGCGACGGCGAGTCCTGGTGGAGATCACTTGGGTGGGGTCGAGGATCCGACGCGGGTTTCCAAGGGCGGGAACGGCAGACGGAGGTTCGGGCTCGAGAGCCAAAACATCATCAAAAGACTGAGGTAGGGAACCGGACCAAACGATGGGAGGTCGATTGCGCAATCGCGACCGCGCCGAACGGCAGAACATCTCGGACGGCAAGGGAGCGGTCTTGGGCGACAAGGAAGCGACGTTCCAAAAATGCCCGATGAAGACGAGAGGCCTGATGACGGTAGACGCGGACCGTGCCGACGGAAATCAGCGAAGTCAGCCGTACACGGGGCAAGCCCACCCAACACCGAAGTCGGGGGATTAGGAACTAGCCCAACCAAGCCAATACCCGCGGCCCGATCACCGGAAGGGGTGAGGCCACACGAACGGATGGAAAACACCGCCTCTTCATCCTCAGCCGGGGTCAGACGAACGGTCGCATTCAGCCGCAGCGACTGGGAGGCGTGAGAAGAAATCAGCGTTGGCATTTGCGGAACCCTTGCGATACTCGAGAGTGTAATTGTCGGCGGTAGGAAATTCCAGCCTGCGCTGAACGCGGGCATTGTTCACCCCCCCTTTAGCAAAATGCTCGGAAGATTTGCGGTCGGTAAAAATGCGAAATTTCGTACCCCACAAGTAACCGCGAAGGCGCTTGATACACCACACGATGCTACCCGCCTCGAGATCGAGGGGAGTCCAGTGGCGTTCTGAGTCCAAAGTTACCCGACTGATGAAGACAATTGGGCGAATGGAACCATCTGGCTGTTCTTGTTCAAGAGTCTCACCAAACCCATCGCGACTAGCATCACAGTAAAGATGAAAAGGTCGCGAGCCGTCTGAAACGACATCCCAATCTGGATAAACCAAAACAGGGGGATTGGCCAACTCAGCTTAAAAAACGCGAACGGCTTGCTCCATGGAACGGGTGAAGATAAACTTCTCTTGGTTCTTGAGTAGAGTAATCAGAGGTCGAATACGTTTAGCCATGTTGGGGAGGAACTTACGGTAGTAGCTGAGACCACCGAGAAGGGAGCGTAGTTGCTTGACATCCCTGGGCATAGGCATTTTGGTGAGGGCCGAAACCTTGGCACCGTTAGGCCTAACGCCGTCAGGGGAGATGGTGTGTCCGAGGAAGTCCGCTTCAGTAGCGCCAATAGTAGCTTTCGGAGGCGTGAGTTTCAAGTTGTACGTACGCAAGCGTCCAAAGAGTGCGCGCATGGAACCAACATGAGTAGCAGGGGTGTCATCAAAGACGATTAAATCATCCAAGTACGATGCAACACCGCGGAGTTTCTTTATGACTTCGTTGACAACTTTGCATAACCACCCAGGGGCAGCCGAACTGCCTTGAGGCATCTTCAACCACTCGAAAAGCCCGGAAGACGTCACGAATGCCGTCAAAGGGATTGTATCGCGGTGCACCGTGATTTGGTGGAACGAAGATTTCATGTCGAAAAGGAAATAAATTCGCCCTTTCAACAAGTTGTCCCATGTATCATCGACTCGAGGAATCGGAAGCTGACTCAAAGCACAAAGCTTATTGAGCTTGCGATAATTGACGGTGATGCGAATACCACCAGATTTCTTCGGTATGACTACCAAAGGGCTCGAGTAAGGCGAGGTCGAATGTTGGATCAAACCTGCCGCAAGATGTTGGTCAAGGATCGCGTCAACTTGTTTCGCCACCGGGGGATTAGCGCGGTANAAATAAATTCGCCCTTTCAACAAGTTGTCCCATGTATCATCGACTCGAGGAATCGGAAGCTGACTCAAAGCACAAAGCTTATTGAGCTTGCGATAATTGACGGTGATGCGAATACCACCAGATTTCTTCGGTATGACTACCAAAGGGCTCGAGTAAGGCGAGGTCGAATGTTGGATCAAACCTGCCGCAAGATGTTGGTCAAGGATCGCGTCAACTTGTTTCGCCACCGGGGGATTAGCGCGGTAGGGGCGAGACGTGACGGGTGCGCTGCCAGGAGGAGCTGTACGCTTAAAAGGAAAAAGCGAACAAGATCCAAAGTCGGTCGGAGAACTCGAAAACACATCATGGTATTTGCACAAAACGTCACCAAGCTGAGTAATGACATCGGGAGTCCAACCCGGGCCGTGGAGATCAAAAGTAATCTCACGGAGAGGGCAGGGTAGCTTATCCCAGACTTGGGAGAAACTTTGACGCTTTTCTGGCGTCAACCGCTCGAAAGGAGCAGGCGAAGGCGACGAGGGGGAAGAACTGGCGGAACCAAAGTCCCCTCGGTCGCTTGGCGACGGGGCGGGTCGCTCGTGCAAACTATACACGAAGGGGTCAGAAACGGAGTACGTGGCAGACGAATCAACGCCACCTGTAGAAACAGGACCAGGGACCCAGCTGTCTGAAGCAGCGGTGGATTCTGAAGCCGCAGTTTCAAGACCATCGCTCAAACTGTGGTGAGAAACAGCGCTATGAGGCACGCGAAGAAGGGNCCGAGATGCCCGCAAGAGGGATGCGTTGGCAATTATTTTGCACAAAATGTTCCTCGGAAGAAAACATTGCACATTGGGGGAGCATATCCACCAAATAGTTACCACAAGGGCAGGCGAGTCATCATTGCGTACCAAATGAACTGAACGAGGCTATGCTCTGGGTGAAGTTGAGCAGAATGTTTGCCTGCATAGCGAAGATGGTAACTTCCATCCGTTGCGGACAAATCGTGAGCAAATGCAGCGGCACCACAGGTGTCATGTTGGGCTAAAGTAAGCTCACCAAGACACGGTCACCAGGACGTTTCGCACGTGAAGTGCGGTAAGAACGTCACTAAACCGCATCCAACCATCTCTGCCGAGGAGCACGTCATGATGCATGACGCCGTCAGGAACAACGTATGCCCAAACAGCAAGAGAGGAAGTAGGAAGGTTCTTACGGAGAACACTCAAACGGACAATGGTCGAATTTTGAAGCGGCGCGGACTTCCTTAAACCACTCCAACAGCGAAGTTGGGTGTGTTTCTCAGACAACGTGGAAGCAGCCGAAGCCGCTTTCATGGTTTCCCATGCAGAAGCACTAACAGAAGACTGCGGAAAACCCGTATCAAAAAGAGCGATACGCCCAAACTGCACAGAGGCCGAACCGCTGTGGAGGAGGATTCTGGTGGTGAAAGAGTCGTCATCGATGGTGACAACACCACCAACCAGATCCGGACCTTGCTCTGGGAGCTAGGAGGACGACGGGATGTATTTTGAACACACGGCCCTAAGGGCGGTGTCGTGATCCGACGGGACATTCAGAGCGTTTTGCAATATGACGCGAACCGGTCGGTCGATGGAGGGCGAAGCCGTCCGAAGGCGCTGGTGTGTGGAAGGGTTAACTTCATACACCGCAGAATGAAGGGACGACGTCGGAACGTGGTCGGTCGGAGGCAGCAAATAAGAGCTGCGCTCGGGAGGAGGGGCACGGTGTCGTAAAAGACTGCGTACGTTCTGTAGGGCGGTGCATAACAGGTTGAGGCCGCGCCATCTAGATGTGCATCCAGCGTCAGGATGATCGGCCTGCAGGCCAATGCCCCAAACAAGGTCGTAAGGACTGGCTTCGGCAAGGATTTTGTCACCAGATCCGAGGAGATGCTTTTGTAACTCGGAATTTCGACTAAATTTTGCGAAAGAGCCAGTGAGCACAATGTTTTCGCGTTCTTGTTCCCAAAGCGATTGGTCGAAACCACGGATCTCACGGCCAAAATTTTTGCGTAAGGCCGGGTCTGACACTCGCATGATGTTCTGCAAACCATAGCGATCTCCGAAAAGACGGGCTTTTTCTACAGCGAAAAATTGTTCGGCACACGAGTAAACAACGCCACCGACCGTGAAGGTCGACGGCGTCCTTTGGGAAAATGGGGAGGGCGGCTTCCAAAAGTAAACCATGTCTGGCGTACCCTACTCGGTAGACGGGTCGAAAACGGCCGAAGCAACAGCGGCCGGAGCGCCCTGAGTGCTGTTGGTCGAAACTGGAGTCGCACCCGAAGATGCGGAGTCACGATGGACAGTATGCACATCCATGGGGTTGGTCCTTGTAACAGCGGGAACCGACGAAGAATCGACTTGAGTCGGATTGTTCGTAATTGGGCCAGCAACACTGGGCTGGGTGCACTCCAATTTTAAACCTGAAGAGACGTCTCGGAAGGTGTTCGGCAACAGGTCGCTTTTGCTGGGAACGGCTGCCAAAGCCGGGTTAGTTGACGAACTGAACCGAGCATGGCGCTCCTGGCTATTCCCCTGTGACAAGGTACGCGAGACCGCCGGCTGTTCGAGGTCACTTCGGGGGCGTCCTCCCGAAGCGGTGGTGTCAACACTGTCGACGTCGGTCGCAGCAGCCTAGAAGCGGGTGCCGTTGTGCGAGCGTGCGTCGGAGAAGATGGGGCTTGTAAAGGCGACCCACGGTCGAAATGTCGCGTGGCGGAATCTGAGGGTGTTCGGTGGTCGGAACCAGGGGGACAAGGCGATTCGAAGCCAGACGAATTTGACACTAAAACTTGCCGGTCGGAACCAGTCAAGTTAGCTATCGGTGCAACAGTCGAAGGCGGACCTTGAACGGAAGCGAGCATAGACGAATTGAGCGTATCCGAAGAAGCACCTGAGGCAACCAACGCGGGCAATTCGTCATCAATCGTCCAAAGTTCATGGCAACTGCCGATTCTATCTGCAGACGACGGGGGGAACGAACGAGAGGTGCTCGACGAACGAGGAGAACTCTTTGGCCCCGAAAGTCCAACGGGTCTGTTAGCATTTGGCTGAAGACCGACCTGATCGACACTTGAAGAAACAGCGTGTACCTGAGTACCGCTGTCATTGGATAGCATCGAAGTGCGTGAGCGCGTACGGAGAACATTTACCGAAGTATTGTTGTCGTTGCCTAAGACCGGAGTGCTAGAGGCAACAGAGCGTGTAGGGAGAACATGTACCGAAGTATTGTTGTCGCTGCCTAAGACCGGAGTGCTGGAGGCAACAGAGCGCGTAGGGAGAACATGTACCGAAGTATTGTTGTCGTTGCCTAAGACCGGAGTGCTAGAGGCAACAGAGCGTGTAGGGAGAACATGTACCGAAGTATTGTTGTCGTTGCCTAAGACCGGAGTGTTAGAGGCAACAGAGCGCGTAGAGAGAACATTTATCGAAGTATTGTTGTCGTTGCCTAAGACCGGAATGCTAGAGGCAACAGAGCGCGTAGAGAGAACATTTATCGAAGTATTGTTGCCGTTGCTTAAGACCGGAGTGCTAGAGGCAACAGAGCGCGTAGGGGGAACATATTCCGAAGTATTGTTGTCGTTGCTCAAGACCGGAGTGCTAGAGGCAACTGAGGGTGATACACGTGCGTCTTGTGTTGAGCGAGACGAAGTTAGTTCCCAAAGATGCTGGAGGCGGTCCGAGGGAAGGAGGCGAACCACCGTCGGGGAGTCATCCGGTGCGTGAACGGCCGCCATTGTGGAAGTTACCAGGCTGGCGTGCGTTATGATTGGTCGAAACCATGACGCCAGACGAGGGACCAGTTTGAGCATGCGATTGGGGTTGATAGACGGACAGAGCACCAGGGTGGTGGGTGTTGCCAGACGTCTGTTGTGTATGATGATGGTTAGCCGTGGAATGTCCCGAGGTTTGACCACCGTGGTGTGATTCTTGGTGGTGATTGTGAGAGGAACTACCACCGTACGGCGAGGCCCAACGTCGTTTCTACGCTGAGAGGAGGAGGAAGAAGACTGCCGATGGCATCTACCCTGATTGTTGTTGCGTCCATCTGAACCCTTACGCCTGAAGGATCGCATGCGACCTTGCCAACGCCGAAAAGCAACAGAGTCGTCATTGAGGTAACCCAACTCGGGATTCAACAACCCACTAGAATTCGTGAAGGGAGAAGCACATTGCTTCATGGAACGGTCATCACCCGAGCAGTTCAGACAGCGGTTTCTGTTTTCGCGGAAGGCTTGCGAACGAGCCTCTTGTGTCAACAAAGGAGTCCATAAAAAAGGATCATCGGTGTTACGAAAATTGGCGGTGAGGGCGTACATCAGACCAGTCGGCTTGCGAAGCAGGCCAAGAGTATTTGTTGTGCGTGAAAGCATCCGTGGCTTGAGGTTGCACGGGCAACACTACAGGGTTCTGTGCGGAGCCGGATGCCCACTGGCCCGAAGACGCACGGGCGCGGTGGATAGACCGCCGAGGCTGCAGAGAGCCACGGGTCGAAGTCAACGAAAAATAAGATGAACCACCAATAGCCGGGGTTTTATTAGTCGCCAAAGGCGCGAACGCCTCCCACATGACCGCAATCGACTCAAAGGGAGTGACCGCAGTGGCCAAAACACCCGGGTACAAAAGCGGAGACAGAGTCGGAAACTGCTTGTCGACCGATTTTCGCACTATTTCGAGAACCATGGATACACCAGGGGCCAAAGTACGCTCAGAGCCCGAAGATAATCCANAGAGACAGACTCGAAAATTGCCTGTCGACCGAGTTTCGCACTATTTCGAGAACCATGGATACACTAGGGGCCNAATAGCCGGGGTTTTATTAGTCGCCAAAGGCGCGAACGCCTCCCACATGACCGCAATCGACTCAAAGGGAGTGACCGCAGTGGCCAAAACACCCGGGTACAAAAGCGGAGACAGAGTCGGAAACTGCTTGTCGACCGATTTTCGCACTATTTCGAGAACCATGGATACACCAGGGGCCAAAGTACGCTCAGAGCCCGAAGATAATCCACGAAAGGAGTACCATCTGCTACGCCAAATTGTTGCAGCCGCAAAAACGACTCTTGGCGGTCTCCGACGTCAAATTGCTCCGCCAGGTGACGCAACAATAGCTGGAAAGCGTCTGGTCCAGGGGCTCCTCCATCCAAGCTCCGTTTCACTTGCTGAAAGAAATCAGTAACGGCAAGGACGAGANGCGAAGATAATCCGCGAAAGGAGTACCATCTCCTACGCCAAATTGTTGCAGCCGCAAAAGCGACTCTTGGCGGTCTCCGACGTCAAATTGCTCCGCCAGGTGACGCAACAATAGCTGGAAAGCGTCTGGTCCAGGGGCTCCTCCATCCAAGCTCCGTTTCACTTGCTGAAAGAAATCAGTAACGGCAAGGACGAGATCGGCGGTAGAGGGCTTGTCGGGGGTGATCGCACTCAAAAGTTTTTTTTCGAGAGGACGTTCCCATCCACGCACAAAATCGACGCNAAAAGTTTTTTTTCGAGAGGATGTTCCCATCCACCCACAAAATCGGCGCCTGTCAAACCTTCACTCTGCTCATCACGCAACAGCAAAATATCGGACAAAGCCGTTCTTGTTGTGCGAAGAAGCTGCTGATAACCATCTCCCGGCAACAGAGTAGCGGGGAAGGGCATGGTAGCGACATTCTCAACTTTTTTCAAGTTGAGGGTGATGTACGCTCGTTGTACGGTNTTTGCTGACATTAATCAGTAACGGCAAGGACGAGATCGGCGGTAGAGGGCTTGTCGGGGGGGATCGCACTCAAAAGTTTTTTTTCGAGAGGATGTTCCCATCCACCCACAAAATCGGCGCCTGTCAAACCTTCACTCTGCTCATCACGCAACAGCAAAATATCGGACAAAGCCGTTCTTGTTGTGCGAAGAAGCTGCTGATAACCATCTCCCGGCAACAGAGTAGCGGGGAAGGGCATGGTAGCGACATTCTCAACTTTTTTCAAGTTGAGGGTGATGTACGCTCGTTGTACGGTAGCTACATGAGCATTACGAGCCGCTGCATCAACCGCATCGATCGATGCTTGACGCGTGTGTGCTGTGTTAGAAGAACGTGGCAAAGCACGATCATCGGAGACAGCAAGGGGTGCGGCGACGGCTACCGAAGCAGCTGTGGGGGCATGGTCTGAAGACAGCATGCTACGAAAAACACCCGGCACTGGTGGATCAAACGCCGAAGGGGGCTTGAGCGGCAGAAAGGCTACGGGGTGAAGAGGTTTCCAAAGAAACAGGGGTGGTCGAAACCGGGGCTGAGTTCGAAAACTCAACGCGACGTACATGTCCGCAGTCTACAGCATTGAATGCGGCAGAACGGACAGAAGGTACAAAGGATTCCGAAGAAACAGGGGTGGTCGGAACCGGGGCTGAGTTCGAAAACTCAACGCGACGTACATGTCCGCAGTCTACAGCATTGAATGCGGCAGAACGGACAGAAGGTACAAAGGATTCCGAAGAAACAGGGGTGGTCGGAACCGGGGCTGAGTTCGAAAACTCAACGCGACGTACATGTCCGCAGTCTACAGCATTGAATGCGGCAGAACGGACAGAAGGTACAAAGGATTCCGAAGAAACAGGGGTGGTCGGAACCGGGGCTGAGTTCGAAAACTCAACGCGACGTACATGTCCAGAGTCTACCGCATTGAATGCGGCAGAACGGACAGAAGGTGCAAAGGGTTCCGAAGAAACAGGGGCGGTCGAAATCGGGGCTGAGTTCGAAAACGCAACGCGACGTACATGTCCAGAGTCTACCGCATTGAATGCGGCAGAACGGACAGAAGGTGCAAAGGGTTCCGAAGAAACAGGGGCGGTCGAAATCGGGGCTGAGTTCGAAAACGCAACGCGACGTACATGTCCAGAGTCTACCGCATTGAATGCGGCAGAACGGACAGAAGGTGCAAAGGGTTCCGAAGAAACAGGGGCGGTCGAAATCGGGGCTGAGTTCGAAAACGCAACGCGACGTACATGTCCGGAGTCTGCAGCATTGGATGCGGCAGAACGGACAGAAGTTACAAAGGATTCCGAGGAAACAGGGGTGGTCGGAACCGGGGCTGAGTTCGAAAACGCAACGCGACGTACATGTCCGGAGTCTACAGCATTGAATGCGGCAGGACGGACAGAAGGTGCAATGGGTTCCGGAAAAACGAGGGAATCTAAATTCGGGGGAA